TCCCCAAAGTAGCACTATGCTAGGGGTACAGGCATCTGGAGACCTAAAGAGCGGGGATATCAGCGGGGTTCGTTAACCAGCGATCCCTGCATCCAAAAGGTCATAGGCTCAAGAGATGTAGCCCCCGAGATGCTTCATAGCAACTCCCATTTCCTAACACTATAACCCCTATATAACCCTATATAACCTTGATATAGTAGTTTCCATTTTCTTTTCCATTATCCCGATCTATCCCCAACCCTTACAGCTGGCAGAGCTTCTCACAAGCTTGCCAAGGACCTGCTGTCGCCCGGCTCGGAAGCTGCCTTTGGACGGTGGAAGGCGGTTCTCCAGGCTCCCACATTGTGAAGGATTGGTGGAACCTGCGTGCAAACGGATACAGCAGGGCCGAAAATCATTTCTTTATGGTGTGGATAAAGTTTATTACCAAACTTCAGGCTCTCTCAAGGCAGTGGGGGCTCTTCTGGCTGAAAACAGACCCTATCATTCTTGAACCCTAAACCGTAAGCTATGCACTCGCAGCAGCTATCCCTGACATCAAAATTCGCACCCTGAACTCCATTTCGGATCAGGTTTAGGGTGCAGGGTTCAGACATGTAGCTGCAGGTTATTTGGCAGTTTTACCTCAATCCTTACGTAACCTTCCAGCAGGACCCCAGAACCATCCCCATATACACTACTGGGCCCACCGTCCCTACGGACCACTGGCCTTTTGAGAGACTCCCATATCTCAGATGTGATCGTGATATATCTCCAGTCATGGATGCACCAGCCACAGGGTACTTTGAAAGCGGCGGAATACCCCGATGGATGGGGGCGTTGCCTGTTGCAGCTTTGACATGTCAGTTAGTCAGTGGCGAGAATAATGGGTTCAAAACGAAGGCAGTGCTCACACAGCGAAAGATGGAAGAGCAGGGATTTCAAACGATCACCTGGTGAGAGGACCCTCAAGTGTATGTATGGTCTTGACCCATACGGTGGATCAGGAGTCCATGCATGATTGCAGTATCAACCGCAGGTCTCTTTGGGAGGGTATCTAGGGATGCATATACGGCTTCAGCTTGTCCACCTCTCGGTTTGCCGAAGAATGATTTGAAAGCTGGAGATTTGGGGATTTAGGGTCTAGTATGCATCTCTCACTACGGCAGAAACTCTCCAAAATGCCGGTGATATGTTGTGCTGGTCGGTACCCCCCTTTTTCAGACTGCCCCTTGTTAATCAGGCTTTTGAGTAGCTTATGATCTGGCCTTTGGAGTCCTCATTTTCACACCATAGTCAGCCTGCTTATTTCTCAAAGCTGGGGTCCACATTACATGCCCCGCAGTAAGCTGGCGCCCATTAAATACCCCGGTAGTAGAGACTTGACTCAAAGGTTCCCATAACTTTGTATATACCCTATAATCCTTATATGACTCCTTTATGGTAGTTTCCATTTTCTTTTCCATTATCCCTATATTACCCCTGTATACCCTAATATAACCCCTATATAAACCCTAGTAACTTTGTGGAACATCCACTTTGTCAGGGCGACTGGTCCGCCACGGTCCTCCTTGAGGGGTCGCTGCCGGGGATCGAGGCGCCATGCGCCATAGTTCCCCTGGAAACCTATATAGGGGTTATATACGGATAATGGAAAAGAAAATGGACACTACCATTTGGGGTTTAGGGTTTATATTGGGGTAATATTGGGATAATGGAAAAGAAAATGGAGACTATAGGGATTACAGGGTATATATTGGGGCACTGGGGGTTCAGGGATGGCGCTTTCAGGTGAGGCGTTTGGGGTCGAGAATATTCAGAAAAGGTTTCTTCCACATGAACGTTTGAGGTTGCCGCCCTCAATTGGCTTCACGACAGCCTGAGAGAGACAAGAAGCAAAGGAGGAAGGAAAGAGAAGAGAGACAGCAAAGAAGAACCTTTTTGGGGCCAAGTCTGTTGGACGCGTTTTTTTATTGATAGACTGTCTGCTAGAGGGTCGTTCATCTAGTAACTAGCCTTGGTGGGAGCTTCGCATATCATCTTCTCACCTTGGGTTTTCTAAAGGATGGTTGATGGACGCCTGCGTACCCTAAGTATACTAGACAATCACGACAAGTGTTTTGCCTTGCATGCAGGATTTTTTCCATCAACGGCATGGCTCTGGGTAAAGACAAGATAAGTTTTCTTCAGGTCAGGCTCTGATTTCCGAGACTGCAAAGTCTCAAACCAGAGCTCCAACGCTGAACTTCTGGTATTCACAAAGAGGCAAGAAAGTTGTGCAAGAAGTTGGGAAGGCTCTGTCAAGTGTGGTAAAATTTACAGTTCTTCAGAATTCCCCCCAGAGTGCCCGGTCAAATGCTTCTGGCAAAGCACGACGAGAAAGGTGTGCCTTGACGCCTTGACTCGCGGCACTCTTTACCCCTAAGGTCTGGAGCCGCAGGAATCTATTTTCATCAATACCACACTGCGGGCTGAAAAGGAACACAGTTTAGGATTCGGAGCATATGTATTGTGTAGGGTAGGTTGACAAGCATACAAGCCGTGACAGGTCAATGATCATTTCCTTTCGAATTCTGCGGGGCCCGCGGAAAGGAGGCATGTGCGTTAAACAGTTAAACGTGATTGATGATATGGAGGCACTCGTAAGCTTGCAGTCCTGCAGTCGTCGACTGAGGCAGGTGCCTTACAATGTGTTAAAACAGCTGTAGAAGGGTACATCCGGTCAGGGTAAGAGGTTTCTAACAGGTCAGGGTGCGGAGTCTAAAGCCTGCTTAAGACGCTCATCCTTTTTCTTCGTGTACGAGAAAGTTTTGCTGCGAGTCAGGGTTTGGGGTTTGGACACCACATCGGTTCAGGTTTCAAGAGCCATTGAAATAGTCGAACTTGGTACCTAAAGCCATGGTATTCGAATCCTAAAGCCATAATACCTGCTTTTGCGAGGTTTGGCAGTATCTTGCGGCTGTCCAGCAGATCTTCGGCAGCCCTAAACGCAAACTCTGACGTTAAGCAACCTCACACTAGAAAGGTGTCAGCACTGACTGTTCAGGTACTTGATTCTTGATGCCTCGGCTTTCCTCGACCGCCGCGAGGCGCACGCGCGCCTGTGCACGTCAACATATGCGTACACATATCATGTGCTCTTACCCATGCATGCAAATTTGCTTGCACGCATATGCCTACATAGATGCAAACACATGTACCTACATACCTACATACCTACATACCTACATACCTACATACCTACATACCTACATGCGTACGTATATGCACACGTGCGCGCAGGCAGACAACACTCCTACCTACATACGTAGGTGCGCACGCATTGTCGTCTGAATACATGAGTTTATGCATGGTTTCCAAAGTGGTTTGTTGAGATGATGGGGCTTCCCCCCCATCCCTTAAGTTGATTGGACCTTGTAAAGACTACCAAAAAGCAGTTTTTTTTTGCGTAGGGGCGGCATTGCTGGGACGAAGGGCGGAGGTTCATTAGGAGGCAGATGGAACCGCATTGGGAACTTAGTTAGAGATGTCCCCTATATCATTCCTAACAGGAAGATGTCGGAATCACCGTTCGACTCCCATATTGCTCCACCAAAATTACCCCTTCTGAGAAGCTCCCAGACCTGTACTCTACATGGAGCAATGTTGCAAGGACCCCAGCAAGAAACCTACGGAATCGGAATCTTTATCGGAATCCCTGTGCCAACAGATAGCAGGAAGCTGAAATTGTGGATGCCAGGGGCGCTCTGGGCTTCCGCCAACAGTGACCCGCAGCCAGACAACTCATTTTAACTAAGGGAGGTCTGTTGTTGCGGTAGCCGAGTAGCCAGAAGCAATGTAGTAAAAGAAGTGAGAAATTGGCAAAGGCTTAAACCTTCACGTGCAGTGCGGCGCTTCCAGCTCGCTGATGGATTTGGATAAAATCCTGCATGACCCCAAGGACCATATTTGCTAAGGTTTCAGGTATACAGGATGCCAGGATGCTGCAGGCCTTTATCCATCAGCCGTAAGTTGCATGAAGATAGGCCTCTGACGCCACCAGCGCCGCTGAAGAACAGTAGTGCTGGATGTTCAGCAGGGCAACCGCAGAACTCGTGAGCCGTTCGGCTGTTCTGAAGACATTGCTGCATAGGGCTAGATGTGAGTTTCCCAAAGATTGGTGTCCCTGTTTGGGTCTGAGGTCCCTACAAAAAATATGCACATAAAGGGGGACCCTCTTTCGACGAACCTTGAGGCTTCAAATGGTGAAAGCGATTGGATTTCAATGGTTGCCGGAAGCGGAGCAAAATCAACCGCGACGACGATTCATGCAGGTCAATTTTTGCCAGTATAAGGTTTAGATTTTGCCAACCCAAGTACCCAGAGGCCTAGCTGCAAAGGGATTCCCCACCAAGGATGGAAAAAGGCCCGACGCAAAGAAACCTTCAATCTGTACTTAGGCTATGTGCAAACTTGAAGCTCCAATTCACTCCCTGGTGTTTTGTAGGAAAAGTTCAAATGGACTGCAACGAGCATTGTTGGGAGCTCTGTAAAGGTTACTAGTTGCTGTGGAATTCCAACAGCATCAAGCGGATCGCATCCTGCAAAGCAGAAGCTGATCGACATGAACGCTGGCTTCGGGCAAAATATGTTTGTGCTTGCTGGTCAGGGCTTTTATGCAGCCACCGCGTACGGACTATAAAGGCAAACACTTCTTGTTCAGGTTTCTACTTTGGGTGCTTCCCATGATGAATTTCGCAGTTGGGCTCATTGAAGGGATGCGAAACTTCTTTGAGACTATGGCGACCTTAGTTCCCTGTTCAGGGGGGTCATTTAGAGACATGGGATGCCGGGAGTAGGGTTGAGGGTTTAGGGTTCTCAAAGCTATGGGTCCTCTCCTGAAATACTTGGGAATTCCTGTAAAGAATCCTTCTAGAAATCCTATCAGCGACCCCAAATAATCGTTTTCTCCCTGTAATCCCTAGGTATCGCTAGGGTACCCACAGTACCCAGACTTGCTTTGACGGCGCCACGTGCAAGCTATGGGCTCGGCTTTGTGCACACGGGACGATGACTTGACTTGCTGCACGCAGTCCACCGTGCATGACTGATTCTTGTGGACCCATTGGGTAAACTTTAGCATTTGTGGTTACTGCAACAAACCATGTAAACACAAAGGCAAACCTGGGAGAGCCTGCTAGATACCAGACAACTCAGGTCTCTTCCCTCTGTGGGCAGTCAAAGTGTCTGATTTCTTGAAGATGCGCGGGCCCCCTGAACCACACAATGTCCTGCAAGAGCAAGGGTTGCTCCACCAGTGGTATCCTGGCATGTTTGTCATCTTCGTGTCGCACCAGTGGCTGAGCTCCGTGCACCCAGACCCAAAGGGTCAGCAGGTGCAAGTCCTTCAGCAAGCGCTTCAGGGGATAATCGACGGAACTTTAGACGTGCATGAGTCCATCGTAGCTCGGACAGACGACAAAAGCCTATCAGACAACTTGCGTCGGCACGTAGCCGCCGGCTTCATTTTCTTCGATTGGCTATCTATCCCGCAAATCACAGCACGCCAGCACGGAGTGAATGAGGAGACGACGAAAAGCGATGCGGTTCTGGCTGTGCAAAGCATTCCAGCGTATGTGGAGCTCTCAAATATGTTCATTGCGCTTGTGCCAGAGCTCTTACACAAGGATTCATCAGCCTTGGTCAACTACGCGACGTGGCTGTTTCTAGTTCTTGGCTAGGGAATAGTTTGCGCGTTTGCCCTCGTCGAAGAAGTTGTGGGTAAAGAGACCCGGATATTTTCAGGGTCTTTCCCTACTGGACTCAGGTCTAGGGGGTGGTGTCGCGCAGAGTTATGGTGTCGACTCTTGTCAAACAAAGCGGACAATTCTGTCATTGTCGTGTACTCCGCTACCGAAGCTGAGTTCATGTTCCCGCTGCTGGATTTCTGCTGGGAAAAGATTGTTTTAGTTCCACGCCAATGGTAGGACCGTACATACATCCACGCTGCCTCGAAGTTTTATAATGGACCTATCTGTGAGACTCAGGAGTAGAACGGAACCTTGTCAAAACAGAAACTCGATTGTTGATGTTTATCGTCGGCCCAACTCCTAGACCCTAACCTCCAAACTCCATGGTATCTATTGAAGAGGATTTCACGCTTCTATGTATACCTGCCCTCAGTACAGATTAAACATGCTGATTTTCAATAGCACTTCAACACAATATTCAAGAACCCCCTAAGCCCTACCCTTTCTGCTATCTGGGTCCCTTGTCCGTTCGGGGAGGGTAAAGCCCTAAGCCCTTTCAAAACCCTGAACTAACCCTTACACATCCCGATGCATCCCTGTATGACTTTATCTCTTGGCTACAACCCTCTCAAATACGTTCCATGTTCCTTATCCCCGAGCCCTTCGAGTCAGGCTCGACTGGCAACACAACAGCATCGTGGAGGGGAATTTTACGGTGTCTTGCTGGAGAATTGAGGAGGAGGTATAGGTATTCTGTACCAAATTATGGGATTAGTTTAGGCCTAGCGGCAGGGGCCGGCCCTGCCGCCTTTGTAGCCAACAGCAAGAGACAGCAACAACAACAAGGCGCAGCAATAATAGCAGAAACATTAACAGCAACTTGTGAGGGGTGTGGGGGGTGGTAGAGGGTCAGACGCTCCTTGGGCTCGCATTACATACACATCTAAATCTTTTCTTTTAAGCATACCACCAAGTCGGTGTGCGCTGAGGGTGTGCGGAGTCTGAGGTGTGGAAGATGGCTGAGTCGTGTGACGGCTATGACGGGCGTGACAGATGCTGATGGGTCCAGCACTCCTCCTGAGGGGTGTGAGGGGTGTGGCGGAGTTGGGGGGTGTTGGGGGGGTAGGCGCTCCTTGGGCCCTCAATGAAGCCGGTGGGTGTTGAGGGTGTGCGGAGTGTGACGGCTGTGGAGGGTGCGAGGGGTGTGACGAGTGGAAAGTGGTTGGGGAGTGAGGGGTGTGAGGGTGTGACAGATGTGGGGAGTGCGAGGGATATGGAAAGTGGTGGAGGAGTGTGGGGAGTGTTGGGGGGTGGAGGGGAGTTGGAGCCTTGTTCGGTTCGTGCTGAGTATGGTATTAAATTGTGTGAGGGGTGTGAGGGATGTGACGAATGTGACGGGTGTGGGAAGTTTGAGGGATGGAGAGTGGTCGGGGTGACAATTGTGAAAGGCGTGGGGAGTGTGAGCAATGGTGGCAGGTTTAAAAGTGTGAGGGGTGTGAGGCATGTGAAGGGTGTAAGAGTTTGGTTGGGGGTCAGAGGGTGTGAGGAGTGTGCAAATTTTTAATACAAAGAGAAACACAACCTCGAGAAAAGGAGGCCGACGGGTAGAAGTAGCGAGAGCTGTGAGACATGTGAAGGACTGTGAGAAGTGTGAATAATGTGCAAAATGGTGAGGGCCAGGGTCTGAGTGGTGTGGAAGGTGTGAGGAGTGGTGGGAGGTCGAAGCCTCGTTTGCTGGCACTGGGGGTCAAAGGTATGAGGGATGTGGCTATGAGGGGTGGGCAGGGTGTGAAGGGTGTAAGGAATGTGAGGTGTGTGGGGACTGTGAGGGATGTGGAAGCAAGTCAGGGATGTGAGGCATGGGGGGGTGTGGGGGATGGTGGAGGGTTGATGTAACAACCCCCTGTCGAATGTATACACAAGTGTATCATGGAAAACCATCAAACATGCACGAAAATAGTACACCAGTCATAACATCTCATTGTCCCAAAGCCTCAGTCTTGGTGCAGGAGCATACTTGCTCCCCACCAGCCATCCGCAGGCATCTGGGATGTGCAATGGTGGTCCCCAGTTTCAGGATTCATGCGCACATACCCGGATCTGCAGATTCAGGGTTCAGATTCAGCAAGGAGTAAAAGGATTTTGTCGCAGAGACATGCGCTAGCGGCTCCAAGGTTGACGGCGTGTCAACTCCTTTCCTGAAGGCATACCTTCGCAACTTGGGTGCAACGCATTTGCCGATTTTCCGGTTTTCTGTGCCGTTTTGGGGTTCGTGGTTTTTGGGTCCATGGTTACTTGATCCAAGCCCCACACTTTGATTACCAGTCTAGAGCGTTAACATCTTCTGGGCATTGCCATGTCCAGCAGTGTGCGGATGCCACGCTGCCAGGTTTCGAATTTGGTCATCAACATGTGCAGCTTCTAGCTTCACGGGCTGTGCGTTGCATCCAGCATCCATGGTTTCCACTGCACCATGTTTTGCAATGTACTCGTTGTCTTTGGAGCTCTGTCAGCTGTTGCGTACTTATAGCAAAAAGGAGTTCCTACCAGCTCTTTCACACCTTTGACGTGTTGCCACCGCAGACCTTAGGACCAAGCGCCCCGCGTTGGCCATTAAGGTGAGAATGGGTTTCCTGCGCATTGGAGCTCGCAGTGCAGCCCATAGGCTCCGTGAGCCCCGCGTTGCACTTGGATGCAGCTATGACGCTGACCCAGGCAACGAAAAGCCGTGATACGAGGCTGACGCGCAGGCTCTTTTTTGCAACAACTATGGTATGGGGAGTCTATGGAATGTTTGTAGAAAAACACTTATCTTGCAGATGTTGCGCGCGTGCCTCCAGTACTAGGACTGTGTAGGTCTAGCTCTTCTTTCCATCTTGCGGACCGGGCAGAATCCGACAATGGGCTGCAGACAGGAGCCACGCTCGATGAGCTGAGTTGCTTCTAGACCCAGAACCCACGCTGCACAAGTAAATGGATGGTAGTGACGCCGGCGAATCTCACGATGTCTTGAAAGCCAAGGGGGTACACGCTATCACTAGCAGCTTGCGGATTTCTTCCACAAGTTCTTGGGAGCCAAGGAGGTAGATCCTCGGAGGAAGAAACCAACAGTGCGTTGGCTATGAAGCCTGTGGGTTTAAAGATCCCGGCTAATCTGCATTTTAAACCACGGAGACAGTGAGTGCAAGTTTGAGTGCAAGGATCCTTCCGCCAGTAGATTTGCCTCTATGAGCCGCAGTCGTGAGAATCACTTCTTCATTCCCTCCTGGGAAGAAAGCTGGGGCCAGCCTGCTGAGTGCACTGCATGCCACCGGACCGCAGCCAGGGAGGTGCAGAAAAGGGGAACGTGTGACGCCTGTGCGAAGTGTAAAGCATGTGAAGGGTGGCGGGGGCCAGGGGTGTGAGAGGTGTGTACAGGTGGCAATAGCGAGAGGTGTGAGACATGTTTTGAGAGGTGTGACGGAAGTGGGAAGGAAGCCTGAGTTATGTGGAGAGTAATGGGGGTCAGGGGTGTCAGCAGGGGGTGGTGGAATCCGGACCTCGTTGGCTCGCAGCGAGGGTTAGAGGTGTAAGTGTGCAGGGTGTGCGGGGTGTCAGGGGTGTGAGGGGTCTGACAAGTGGGGCGACTGTGACGAGGTCAGGGATGTGCTGCATGTCGCGGGCTTGAGGGGGGTAGGGTGTTGAGGTGGCAAGGAAGGGAGCAAGTGACGCACATGGGTGAGGGGGTGTGAGGGGCTGATGTATGAACACAGCTTCACGGGCGCCGACCCAAAAGGGGTCGGCGGATACAAGGAGCATTGCAGGACCCCCAATTCTGCCTCAAGAGCCATGTAAGGTGGAGGCAGACCGCGCGCAAGTTGTCCGCCTCGGTGAAGTTGCAGTGGAAAGCAAGATTCGGCACTTGCAGGCCAAGGAGTGGAAAAGAATATGGCAAGTTTACACAATTTCGGGTATTGCGAGCATACTTTGTACTATGAAAATAGCTGCTGTTACTTGACTCGCAGTTTTGCAAGCCAACTTTTTCCATAGCCCCCCTGGCTCATTCCTTCAATTACAGGCCAGCGGCCCTTTGAGCCAGTACCGCTTCTATGCCGCTTTGCGTCCCCAGCTTTTGAATCGTCCGAGGGAGGACAGGGAGGTGAGCAAATTCTTGCGCGACTTCCGCTTTGACACTTGGGTCGATGCCGTGCAAGAAGCTTGGCTGCTGTACACGGATTCGTATCCAGACTTCTGGATAATGGTTGGCTTTAGGATTTGCCTCTTGCAGTGAATGCCAATTCCAGACGCATGCGTTTAGTGGATCTGAAATCGCTGAGTTCCAGATTCGCGACTGGTAGGCTATTCGCTTATAAGCCAAAGTAAGTTGAAGTAAATACACGTTGATGGCGTGTGGATGGCAGGGCGATTGCCCTCCTGAGCAAGGCAGCAGGGTTAATGCTTTGTTGCGCCCCTTGCATTTTATGGTTTAGGTTTTGTGTTGTGTGACAGCTCTCAAACCGTCTGATTACTCGGAAAGCTCCCTGAAGACTTGGTTCTCATGTAGAACAGAACCTTGAACAGTTGCCTTTGTTACCCCCTAGAATCCGTACATCCCAACCATATTCTAATTGAATATCCGCCTGCGCCACAGCACCAGACTTCATCTGTTTTCTGACGCCGAGGACCAGAGCAACATGAATCTTTGCCTTTGTTGAATAAAACTTTAAATGGGGGATTGTGGAATAGTTTTCTTTTTTGGGGCCCCATAGCAAACATAAAGGGACCACGACAACCTTGACCGACAAACCGGCACATCTTCATAAGTTCCAGACCCGGCAAGGAATTGAACTGGCAATGTGCATTGCTATTCGAAGCGTCTTCAAGATTGGGTAGCAAGATGTAGGGATCATGGCTAAAAAAGCGCCCGGCTATGGGGACCAGGGAGAGGGCTCAAAAACAACAACAAAGACGGATTTAGATAAGTTAAAACGCAATAGTAGTTTGTCGTCGCATAAAGCGCAGCATTCGCAGCCCTGGACGCAGGAAATCGGGAGCAAGAAAACCAAAAAAATTGTTGTCGAGTAGACGGAGTAGAACTCGTGAAAAAGAGGGAAGAGTGTGCGCAAGAAAGAAGGAAAGCAAAAAAGAATTGACCGGGAAAGGCAAGAACAAAAATAGCAGGAAACGGCATTTGAATGATAAATAAGTAATCAATATGAAAAACAAGGGAAGAAAGACAGAAAGAAAGACAAAACCACATAAAAAGAAAGCAGGACGATGATGTAATGTATGCAAGCATGCACTGGATTCCTGGGCAGCAGCTTACTGAAGTTGTTGCGGCCCGCCGGAACAGATACCAGCTGCTCAAGGAGTAGGTGCCCTGCTAAACATTCCGCAACATGTTCTGATCTTTGTCCATGTGTTGCGAATGGGAGGGCTGCCCCCCCCACCCAACCGCTTTGCCACTTGTAATGCAGGCACAATGCTCAAACGTTCCATGGAAGGCGTGCTTAAGCTACATGTTCTGATCTTCGTTCATGTTTTTGCAAATTGTGGGGTTGCGCCCCCTGCCACCACCCCCCGCTATTTTGTAATGATGCACAACGCTAAGAAATCCCATCAAGGGTTTGTTTGCTTGCGGCTACATGTTTTGATTTTCGTTGTCGGGGGGGTTGCGATCCCCAACTCCCCCTACTACTCGTATTCTGTAATGCAAGCACAAGCTGCCACTCACAGTGTTCGCAGCAATTGATGGGCCCGAAACGCTGTCATTTTCATTGTCTGCGCCAGAAATTACAACTGATCTCACCTGTTTGCAGCTTCTCACTAATTCCAAAGGCTTCATTTACCAAAGTAGCTGTCTGACCAAAGCCCTAGCCTGTCAAGAGCCACAAGCGCTGTAATTCGCAGTATTCATAATTTTTCAAAAGCCGCAAATCTTGTAATTTGCAATTCAGGCACAATTGTCCCCCCAAACCCCCCCGCCCACCCCCGTCACCCCCCGTCACCCCCCTACCCCTGCTCCCCCACTCCCAACGCCCTCCCCACCCCCCCCCAACCCTCCCCCCTCTGCCTTATTTTTACAATGTTTTGCTTAGGCTACATGTTCTGAGTTTCGTCATGCTGTAATTGGGGGTTTTCGTAGTCTTTCAAAAGCGGCAAATGTTGTAACTTGCTGTATTCGTAGATTTTTCAAGAGCTGCCAGCGCCGTAATTTGCTGTATTGGTAGCCATTCAAGCGCCGCACACGCTGTAATTTGCAGTGTTACCGCCATAAACTATTTTTTTTGATCCTTCCAATGCGGTGGTTTCTACAATGAAAGCTACCATGTTTTTGCATGTTTTTTGATACAATATTTTTTGGATAGGTTTTTTTGTTTTGTTTTTTGATCCTCCACTCATTGCAATGAAATAACTTGAGGGCAACTGACTGGGGCATGCCCTTACATTGGCCGCCCTGAACAGGAATGCTGTTATGTGTGCGACCCTCTCTGGTGACAGTGGCATGCTCCGACTTCTAGCCAAGAGCCATGCTGACATGAACCACAGCCTGGAAGGCAAGAGATGACAGACCCTGCACGGAATTTCTGGGCTCTCTTGACGTGATTCCCTTCCAAGGATCCTTCTTAGGTGTGTGTCCTGTTTGGAAGCTCCCAGGAATCGACTGCTATCACTACTTCACGTCATGTCGAGGGCTTGGGTTGTAGGGTGTAGATGCTCAAACATCAGGTCCGCCAATCAACCTTTGGGTCCCCTTTGCACTCTCGAACTTTGCAACCGCCCGGTCCCCAACTCTTGACTATGTCTTGTTGCCACACTTACTAGGTACGTTGTACCTACGCTGGGCTTGGAGTTTGTTCGGGTTTGAGTCAGAGTCGCCGCTTATGCCACAGGTTCGCAGGTGCGGGATCTTGTTCCATTTCGGTATTTTGTATTTGTCTTGTGTTCGTGAAGAAGTTGGTGGCGGAATTCGTAATTCATAATCACTTGGGCTTCATGCTCTAAGCTTCGCTTACATGCTCCAATCTGAGATTTTTGTAAGATCTGTCATTCTCTGCTTAGCTACTGTCTATCCGTGGCTAGACTGCTTGCATAGATCTTTAGTCTCCTCTAACCCCTTACGGCCTGCAGGACCCTAGTACAAGAAGACTGGCCATTATTTGGCAAGTAAACTCTAAGCCTTATGGGTTCCCAAAAATGGAATATCTCCCCGATACTAGCTACCTTGCGTTCCACTTGAATTAGGTGTACCCAGGGCTGGTCAAGGTTTTAAACGCTACTTGTAAGCCGTGAAAACTGAAATTTAAACCATAAACCCTAGGCCCTAACCCGCGGCCTCTCATCTCTGGTTCAGCAGGTAGGCCCCAAGCTTCCGTGGTTGTTGGAAGAGAAATTGCGGTGTAACGTCATACCCCCACGAGTCACCGACTAGGTCAGCAGGTGCCTTAAGTCGGCTCCCTGGAAGGCATGTCTGACTTGGGATATTACGACACGCAGACGGCACTAATGGCTGCTACGAAGTCACGGCAAGAAACTGGGTTATCCTTGGGCATCTGTTGTTGGCATTACAATTCTTTTCCTCATCGTTATATATACATATATAATTACGCGCATATATACATACATATGTATATATACACATGGGAATACGCATGTACATATATATATGTATACATATATATACATGTCTATACACACACTTTCAGCTTTTCTGTGAGAATTCTATCGTAGGCAAAACCTTCATTCCTCGACCGTGTGAAGAGACCTTTTCTCTACACTGTAGACGGCCCCAAGCGCCAAACCGTAAACACCTCCCGCAACCATAGGGGCTAAGGAAGCCTCCGTGCTTGCCACCCTCATCGAGTGCCGGGCTGATGTGAACGGCAACCTAGTTGTGCTTAAGGGGATTTGGGGACTGGATCCCCTGTACTGGGATACAGGGATGTATAAGTGCTCAGGGGTTTAGGGTTTGAGTGGATCCCCCATATAGTCCCCTATAGCGGTACATATTCTTCACTCCCTGAGGCAAGGCAAGGACTGGGCTGCCTGCGCTGTACATGTGCCGCTCACCCGAGCATGTGAAGGTGGGCTTCGGGTTTAGGGCATAGAGCTTTAGAGCTTAGGGTTTTCTGCCACCGAAATATCCACTAAGCTACAAGGCCTCCACTACCGGGAAGTTTGGAACTTGTGGAGTTCGTAGGCTTGGAACTGGGGTCTCTGAAATCCTGATCTGAGAGCCTGCCCTAACCTAATGCCTTGACCCAGCTGTTGCTCGATCTCCGGGCCGACATGCCGCACTTTGCGCTGAGTGGCGCTGCATCTTTTGCTGGGCCCGAGCCTTTCCCAAAACATTCGAGGGGCACATTATTCGTCCCCGTTCAAGGGGTCCATACATGAAAGGGGTTTAGTGAGTAGGGTTCTCTTGCTTTGGGGCTTGCGGACGGAACCCCTTTCAAGAAATGCCCATGTATGTCCTTTCGCTAGGATCCGATCCCTTTGAGTCAGAGGCCATCGCTGCCCCCTGTTAACAAGTCCTTCCCGGCAGTATGTATCATTAGGGAGTGTGCTTGTCATCTTGTGGGCGTTGCTTTTGCAGCAGCTGAGGAAACCGTGCAAGAGCTCCTCTCCCACCGATGCGATCCCAACAAGACTGGAGAAAACAGGTTGGGGCCGGGGAATGTATGGAGTAATGCAGAGTACATAATATCGGGATGTTGGAGAACCTAATGCTGCTGCTGGGCAAGACCCATGCATCGAGCAGGCAGGGTGTGGTCTAAATCAGGGGGACATGACCGGCTTGATCTCCCAGGTATCATCCTCTTTCCGCGGTGGCACTGTTTTCGCGCGGCAATTGCAAAGCAATCGAGTCGGCAAAGCTTCTTCTGGCGTACCGAGCAGACGTCAACGCTCGCACCGTGCTCACGGGACAATTGTCATGGCATCTGGGTTGCTTCTAAACGACTTGAGTTCATCTATTGTCATATCACGAAAGCTAGCGGAGCTAGGCTTGAGTTTAGTCTTGCTTTAGCAGTAGTGGCTGTCAAGGTCTTGAAAACGAAGGATCCTGTGATATATCACAGGATGGGGGGGGGGGT